ATCTCATCCAAGACACTGCAGCATAACTTGATATCACTCAATAATGAATCACATCTTGATTTACTGAAATCCTCACGGACGACTACACGTAACATCTTGAGGTTATCAGTCTTTGGTGCCATAGTGTATGCTGGGACAACCCATCCACGTTGACGGAGTTGATGAGCGATTGCAAATTCATCGTAATGTTTGTTGGAGTTTGGGTCCATACGGAAAGCAACGAGTGGGAGACCTTTACCATTCTTTTGCGACATGATAAGGAAACCAAGTTGTTCAAGAGAATCGGAGAGATAATCGGCGGTTCTTGTCAAGTTGCTCATGATAGCTTTGTAACCCTGCTTACCAAGACGAATGAGTTGGTAATATTGAGCGATAACTTGAGAAGCACCCTTGGAGAAGTTAAGAGTGAAAGAAGCTTGATCAGCACCAAGATAATTGATGTTGAAGACAAGCTCCTTGGGAAGGTACTCTGGTGCTCTCCAGACAATCCAACCAACACCAGGGTAAACGAGTCCATATCTAGAGTTTTGTTAGTCGTCGTGTAGGTAAGAGGGGATGAAGAACATACTTGTGACCACTGGTGTTAATAGAAACAACCCTTTCTAATCTAAAATCCCACTCCAAATCTGGTACGGTGAATGGAGCTACAAATCCACCTGAAGCTGCATCAATATGAATAACAGTATCGATGTTCTTCTCGATCAAAAGATCGTTAACAGCCTTGGCATCTTCATACTCTCCAGTATAAGTCGTGCCGAGAATAATGCAGATACCAATGGTATTCTCATCGACCAAATTGACTGTCTCCTCAGGGTCAATTACATATCGATCGGGAGTACAGTAAACATATTTTTCCTCCACCTCGAAATATCTAGCTGCCTTTTCCCAGCAAACTTGAACAGCGGAAGACATAACGATATTTGGGTTATCGGTTGATTTTCCAGCAGCGATACGAGCATTCTTCCAGCGTTTCTTCATGGCCAAAACTGCCAACATGATGGCCTCGGAAGAACCAACGGTCGAGGTACCGACGGCAGCATTACCTTCTTCATTTGTAGGAGCGTTGAACAAACGACCGATCATGGAAACACATCGGTTTTGAATGTCTGCAGATTGAGGATATTCTTCGTAATCTACCCGAAAAGTTTAGCGTGAGTTGGAGTAAAGAAGGTATGGAAAGCGGAATAGCAGGATGAGAAGAAAGTGAACTTACCAATGAAATTCTTGCTGAAACTCTCAGTCATGAGGTCTTCGACTTCTTTTTCCTACATACTATTAGCATTGAACAAGATGATTCATAGATCCCCTCGATTCAATCGCACTCAGCGTGATTGGTGCGCATAATCAATAGCCTCAATATCTTCAAGACTCCAACAACCGGGTCGCTCATGAAACTCAAGGAAATGGTTCAACAAACTCACCATAAATGTAGTAACAAAAGATGCCAAATTCAGCATCGGGTTTCCATCGAGTGAAAGATGATCTTTGATCATGCGATACGCAACCTATTCATGCACCACATAAAATTAGTCTTTCTGCCCCAATTCCAGATTTGCATTCAGATGCCAATTCTACATCAAATCACATACCTCCTTGGCATCTCTCCATCCGGCATCTCATACTCTGGCAGATCCTCTGCAGCAAATCTAGAACCATAAACACTAGTTGTGAATCGATCCTCCTCGCTCGAGGCAGCCATTGTAAGTTTCTTCAACCCTTCGACGAGGGGAGCAACAACCTTATCATTGCTAGGGATTTGGGAAAGGTGAACCATTGTTGCGGTGGTTGTTTGTGTGGTGATTAGGATTGAGTTGAATTGAGATTATGAAGTTATTGATGGTTGAGATGATTTATTGTTGATCGAGTTCGAAGACTAAGATGTTGATGGTTTGAGGTGGGATTTGAGGAGAGATGGGAATGGAAGTGGTTGTATCGTATGAGTGGAAAGCAGAGAAGATGATGATTTAGAACAGAAGAGAACGGAAACCAAAATCAAAAGAGTAACAAGTCAATAAATCTTGTATTCATATGGACATCTATCTACTCACCCATCCTTGATCAAACAGTGAATATTCGGTTCGGTATCACTTCTAGACTTTAGTGGGAAAATTCCGACTCCCTTCTTGATTTCCATTCATCATTCCCATAAGCTTACGAGGACTCTGCCCCTCTTTTCAAGGATGTAAGCTCCAGCTGTTTTGGGATCTTTTGGTAAACCTTGGCAGAAAAGCTAGTTTATTTATCATATATGGAAATTGATTGAAATGATTGGTTGAAAGGGATTGAAATATTAATTATCCGATCAAACCATTGTTTTGAGATTGTGGATTGAATTTTATATCTGCGTCATCCTTTTATCGTTTTATCCTCCCATCTGTTCTTCCCGCATATATTCTGCTCTACCGACAGAGTCTATTTGTTGAATCAAGCATCTATCTATCCCCTGCCAAGAATACCTAGTAGCTATCTCTCAAATCATATGTATTTGGAGAAGATGACCAGCGATTGTACAACACATGGCACTTTTCCAACTTACTTACTTACATACTTAGTACTTAGATGTAGACCTCTCCCCTAGTATTGGGACGAGTCAGAGGCAAAGACGGAAAGGAGGGGTTTCAGGACCGAACGACAATTGGATATCGAGTACATCGCCCATAACCACACGTTCGTACATCACAGCCACACAATGAAATCTGATTCGATGAATATGCGGTGAGATGTCGATGCTGGACTGACATATGGTAATACGTCCATCATACATATGCAGTATCATCGTTGAGCTAGAGATCAAGTGTAAATGCAATTCGGTAGTGCCACGGCTTGTTCTTTGGAGCCTCTCAAATGTTTGGTGTCTAATTCACAATAGTGATGAATTGGTTTGGCAAAAATAGATTTACTTATATGAATTCATGATATTGATTGGTATTACACTGAATCTGGAAAACAGAAATGTTTGGCTATTCAAATCTTTGAAGTTAGAGGCCACTTGATCAAGTATTGAGAATGAGGTACAGTAGCCATTCGCTTATCAATGTCAAATGAAGGGTGAAACTTCCTCAAATCCTTCGTTTGTGAATCCAATTATCTAGTCCTCTTCTTTTCCAAGAGAAGCTGTCTATTCCGGAAGGTAAACATTAGAAATTATAATATTACCAAACTTATATCACAATTCTCTTCATTAATCAGTAAATATCGACACTGAAATCTGATATTCCGTTACAATTTTCCATTTTGATGCTCGATCTCAATCTCCCAATACAGTAGTTATGAGCAACAACTACACAATTTATATCCTCAATCCATCACAACTTATCAATCGAACCCAAAAAGCCATTCATGAGCTTGAGAGTAAATTCAAATTCAAACAATATTCAAACAAAAATCAGCGAGCATTTCTTACAAGGTCAACACTGCTAGATACACTTTAGTTGCGTGAAAGAGCCGACTGTCATCTACATCGAAGAGATGGATATAGTTCAATCTGATATAGAGAAGTCGTCAAGAAATCGAGAACTTCAAGTTCACCATTCCGGCCCAAACTCTCCATCCCTTCAAAATACCTGGACTCAACAAAATCCCACAATATATATGCAGTAAAAGTATCACAACAACCACTCTTCGCGTATTGCTCTCCTCATCTCCTACTCTCCTACTCTAACCCTACCATAAAACCTCCAACTCCAACCCCAATCCTCTCCCTTTTCCACCTCACTTCTTCCCCTCCCTTCTCCCTTCTCCCCCCTCCTCCAACATAATCATCTCATCTCATCCATCTCCACCTCCACCTCCACCCCCTACAAATAAAACCCTCCTCTCCATCCTCCCCCCTCCCATAATTCTCATGATCCACATAATTCACATAATTCACAATCATCACAATCATCACAATCATCACAATCATCACAATCAGCACAAACATCACAAACATCACAAACATCACAAACATCACAAACATCACAACATCACAAACATCACAACAAACACACAAACAACACAAACAACACAAACTCCAAATCTCCCACTCCAAATCTTCCCACTCCAAATCTCCCACTCCAAATCTCCCACTCCAAATCTCCCTCTCAAAATCTCCAAAACACACGAACAGACCCATTACCATCACCATCATCATCACCATCAAATTTACAAAGCAAATGGATAAAACAAAGCAACATATCACATATCACATAAGTATATACTCCATACCTACTACCCATAACCATACACATCCAAGGTCAAGGCATACGCAATCCAGAGTCGAGCCATAGGCATCCAGAGTCAAGGCATACAAGGAGCGGAGAGTTAAATGCAATGGTAGAAAACACACAACATGATTGAGAATCGTGGGAAGTGATGAGGTGTAGGTAATTGAGATGTAGGTTTGTACTTTGATATACAATCAACCATATTAATCTTCCCTTCCCTTCCCTTCCCTTCCCTTCCCTTCCCTTCCCTTCCCTTCCCTTCCCTTCCCTTCCCTTCCCTTCCCTTCCCTTCCCCTCTCCTCCCAATCTCGCCTCCGCCTTTCACCTGGAGTCGCCATAGCAACCTTGGAAAAGATTCCCAAGTTCGCACTACACATCTAGATCCAGATTCAGGAGAAAGAAGAGAAAGTGAGAGACAGAGATAAACCCCAACATCACAATCACTGACTCGGGTCCCAATTCTCTTTTCACGTTGCACACCACATCACACTCGAGATCAAAGTCCAAAAACCAATCAACATAAACCACATCCAATTGTTATCTATTCTATTGGAGAGAAGTCTCTATTATACAGATAGACGCCATGAAAAGCTCTTCCTTTCCTCCCCATCTTCTTCTAGAAGTTCCAGTCCATCATCTAATCTATTCCTTCTCTATTTCAAGACAGACCGGAGTATTTTTCGGTAAAGGCGAGGAAGAAAAGGTTTGCTGGAACAAACAAATGCATGCGGGTTCGCTAAAAGATATCCGACGATCCCGTAAACCCTTTTTAAACAACTGCTTTTATACAATCATTTATTTAACAGCCAAATCAACACCACCAGTGGCACCGAGAGCCTTCTTGATATCACCGTAGATAGCGAATTGACCTACAAAAATTGATTAGTAAATAGATGTGAAAATGTGAAAATGTGAAAATGAATTTACTTACCAGCAGTAATAGCACCGACCATAGCAAGACGAGCACCAATACCAGTGTATGAACCTCTGAAACCCAACTCTTTACCGATCTTGATCAATCGGGAAGTGGTTCCCTCTCCTGGAAGACCCTTGGTCTTGTTAATCTTTGACAACATGGTATCAGCTGGTTGTGAGACAATGGCGGCAGCCATTCCAGCAATAAGACCGGATCCCAAGTTAATGGTGGTTTGCATTCCGTCGGAGGTCTTGGATTTGTCGACCTTGGCGTAGATAGCCTCAACGACCTTTTCGAAAACGACGAACTTGGCCATGGTATATGGAACTCTGTTTGATGATATCAGTATTATAATGATATAATCACCAGAAAATCTTAAAACTTACTGCTTGAACAAGATTGGTCCGAAACCAGCATAGAGAGCACCAACACCCTCGTTCTTCAACATCTTGGAGAAGCCACCAACGAGACCATTGGCATATGTTGGGTCAGAGACCAAACGAATACGGGTAGCCTCAAGAGGGCAAAGAGCGATATCAGCGAAGAATTCGGCGGTAGCGGAAGAAGCCAAGTAGACAGCGGTCTTGTTGTTGACGGCATTTTCATAACCGATCATGTTAATGGCTTGTTGCTTGAAGAGTTCATAACCTCCAAATTTGAATGCGCCTTGAAGGAAGTAACCAGCGAAGGTTGGTCCAGCACCGGTCAAAAGAGCAGATGCTCCCTCCTTTGCAATAACTTGTCTGAAACCTCCGATCAATCCTCTGTTGTATGTGACGGGGTCGAGTTGGATTCTGGTCTTGACGCTGTAGAGAAAATTTATGTTAGTAATTTGATATCTTGGTTATCTCCCACTTCCAATCCCACTTCTATCTCTCCATCCATCGAATCGAATCCTCAGATTGCGCAAAATCCAACAAGAAATCTAATACATACACATCGACGGGAGTAAGACCACCGTGGGTGACTGAACAGCAGACAGCTCCTGCCAAAGCAAATCTGGAGTAAAGTGCGAAACCACTGAGCTTCTCTGGGGTGTTAGCAGCGACCTGTTGGACGACTGCATCCACCTTTGTTGAACCAGTAGAGCCAACCATGATGAATATCTAGAAAAAAAGGATTGAGAGGAGAGGTGAGGTTGTTATTAGATACTTCTTCTACTGAGAGAAGGAAAAGACAGAACAAGATATATCTCGTTGGTGGAGAGAGATAAGGTGGTCAATTGAATAAAATACAATATTATTGATTAGAAAGAAAAACGACAATTAAAACTTTTGACGCTAGAGGATCGGAACCTTTCGGACTAATAATTTAGTTTGGGTCGCCTTAAAGATTAACCGTGTGGATGGTGGATGCCTTATTTTTGGGTTCGGAAAACCGGATTGTTTAAACCGAATCCCAATCCTTCTTACACGTGTGTTCTACAAGGAAATGATATCTATCAAGTCCATCTCATCCTTCAGCCACGGTGAGGACGGCGATGTTCTGAGGATAAGTATATCTTCATATTTGCCTATGTTGGAAGAAAACCCTATTTCTCCATATCCTTTGAGGGCTATCCCAATGACGTAGCGACGTCAATCATAATAATGCCAGTGCGTTGAATATTATCGTCGGATAAAACGGAAATTCAATGCGTTGTGTCTGAGTCGCGCAATATGGCGTCAGATGTCTCATAGTTGAGGCTCTGTATGTTTATGAATTCTTCCATGAGTATGAGAAAGCAAATGTAGCAGATGTGAAGTCTTTGATCACGGAGTCTTGCTCCTACACCTAACGAAGACGGAAGTTGATGCAAGGGACGCCAAGAATTATCCGGCAAAACTCATCGGGTATCTCGTTGTGTGGTTATATTTTACGAGCTTGAGGGCTACCTCTGAACTTGTGGATTTGGCCTCTTCCATATAGTCTATATGGTGCTCATTTAGTAAGACTTTACCATTCTTCACATAGTATTCTGATGTTCAAGCAACTTCTCAAACTCAGCTACCAGGTATCTCCTTCGAGCCTGCTTAAGTATTGTACCACTCGATATCATATCTTGACCCCTCCCTCGTTGCCATACTCGATCCTGAGTATTTTTTGACCTTACGCTATACTCTATCAAGACTGTCAATTGTTATCCAGCCCAGTCGATGTCAACCCTTCAAGAACGAAGTTTATTGCCAGTTTTGCATTCAACAAACAAACAATATCTTGTACTTTACCCCAAAACGAGATTTACCACGAGTTGCTATTCTGGCGGGAGCTTGGAGTGCAAGTTGGCCAATATCAAGACCTCCTGCACCACAACAAGTTCTTAGGGAATTGTACATGGCCCTACCTAAGTCTTGCTTTATATATTCCAGATAAAATGAAATGTACAATACTTAGAAAGTCTTTACTTTGCACAGAACTAGCTTTGTAAAATCCTATCGCATCCATATCTCATCCCTATATAATTCCCTACTAGTTAAATAATTGTATTGCCATCAAAAGGAAGTTAAAACCACTGTGGATGGAGGTTAAGGGGGAGAATTCTGAATACGTCTCCGCTCTTCAAGTGACTATGCCGAACCCCGGGAAAAACATAAATAAGGCCACAAATGGGAAGGCTAATAATCCGGAAACCGGAGATTACTGAACTGTCGAGATTCGTTCTCTCGCCATTGCTGTATAGTTTCGATCACCGTTTTCGCAGGTGTCGAAACCCCTATATGTATTGCGTAGCCATCCAAATATATATCAAAGATCTGCAAATTACAAACAAGAACCTAATGACTATTACCACAGCCCTACAGAGTGCGGCGCCTGAACTTTGAAAGACGGCAGAATGGAAGCCTTTAAATCTATGACACGATAAATTTCAACAAGGTTTTATATGAGAAACCTAAAGACCCTGCCATATGTCCGTGGCATATTCACTCATTCTATCTCTACATTGCTAATTTTGCATCATGCTGCTTCACTGAGAAGTTCAAAAGGACTTTCCTGCAAAATCTATAGAAGTAATCTTTCCACCACCTCCGTAAGGCCAAGCTGTAATGGCAAGTGGTTGAGACCCTTGTCATGTGCAAAGGAGCTGTCACAAAGATACATTCGACATGTTGGACCTGACTGGAGTGTCTTGGCTCCAAATAGGTACCGGCAAAAATCGTATACCTGCCTTTCAGGTTTATGGTTACTTGTTAGGTAGTTCTCTAGTGTCATCCCTTTTTCATTGTTGTCATTCCAATAGTGTGATTGTCGAAACCTTTCATGTGCCTATTAAATGATCGATTTATATACTTCAAACATCATGTGTTGAAGAATAACTAAGAAATCATCACAATTGTTTTTTTCTTCCCCCAGCATAGCATTCTACCTCGCGTGCTCACCACAAAGATCTTTTGTCCCTGTAGAAGCAAGTACCCAGATATTACTGTCTTTTTTAAGGGAACTCCTTGGTTAATAATCGTGACTTTTTATAACCACAAGAACCTTTGCCAGTAGAGCCATGCGTGTAAAACTCTTTTGGCAAAAGAGTGGTAATGAAGCTCCACTTGAAAGATTGACTCCTTGCGAGCTTCTCAACGTTTGTTGATAAGGCTATAAAGGTGGCTTTCTCAAACCGTTTCGTTGGCAAATCGGTTGGAAAGTAACAAGAAGAAATGATAGGCGGTTGCACGATAGATTCCATTGACTTGCCCTCGAGTCCTGGAGGTCTGCAGACCATACCGAAATATGATTTCAACATTACTTCTGGCTCCTTTCATTATATTCACTGCTGGGACCTCTGAGTTTGCTGTCACTGACTTTAATATCATGTGTTATTACGCCGTTTAATTATACTGATTTGACAACGTCGTCGAGGTATTAGCGAATATATCATCTATGAATAATATCATCGCTTTCAACACTGGCATATTTAAAGATACGTAGTATTCATGCTTCAGAGTTCGAAATGAGCCTCGCTGTTGTGCTCCACATTATCGAGCTTGCACCCCGACCCTTTTTTTCTTTAATTGAGTATTTGGATGTTTATCGATTCCTAGTAGTCTTCGAATCTCTTCATTCTCCAGGATTTATATACCCTCCCGTCATGAATGGCTCGGAATGACGAGACTGCGGATCCACTTTAAACAAGAGATGCTCAATATCATCTAACTCCTGAGTTAGTTAGCTCCGCAGATACCTCACAATGAGTTGGGATAGTGAAGTAAATTCCTAGTATAAAATTTACCATGAGTAACTATTTGCAATCGTAAGTTTAATACACCATAAAAAATTTAACGATGAGGGAATACCTATTCATCCTCTCTTGAGCTATAATCTCAGATGTTGTAGGTTACTTATCTAGTGGAATGAGAAGGGCCCTGAACTCTTAAGGGAATTTGTATTCATTCTTGTTGTCAGTAGTTCTCGCTTTTGTCGCCATAACACTATTATTCTTCTCAACCTCATCTATGAGCCCGAAGCCGAGTTGTTAGGATGCGTCGCAACATCATTTCTACTCCCCACCACGCCAAAATCATGATAGAATCGTTTGGGCACTAAACGCGGAGCGGAGCGCCTTACTTCTGTGCATATCGCTCTTGGTTTTTGCCTGCGAAGAAAGGAAAGACCATTTAGGTTATTTTATATCTTTAAATGGGCACCAAAGTCAATTCTGGCGCGCCCTGGTGATCGTTGCAACTAATGGTCAGTCAGATTTCCAAAGTAAGCAAGGGTGAGTTAATGTCAATTTCAGATTCTCAAGCCTAATATACAACCAATGATATCTGCGCAAAATGTGTGATTTCTTCAGTCGATCTGAAAAAGAGAACTATAAGAGAAGCACTCTGAGTCAAGACATTGAACGCCAGAACGAGACTTTCATGAAGTGGATTTACGAAGGTGCAACTTCAATACCAATTTAAGATACTCATTTTAATGATATTCACCAAGGGTCTGATGTTCTTGATATAATGGAAACCGACTTTGTGATGTCTTACTATATTACTCATATTAGCATTGTCGATTTCACTGATTTTTATAATTGTGCTACCTCCAATTCTTTTCGTTCTTTTCGTTCGTTGTCAATAATATGTATTCATCTACCTGCATTTCAATCTGCCATGTTATTCTTTTCCATCATGCGCACATTCTTACCGGAAGCTTCTTGCGTCTGTGGACCCTTTACTCGGCATATCAAGTGACAGGCTCCCTGGCGCGTAAATTTGCTTGGTTTTAGATGATTCATGATTACTTAGAGAACTACTAAACGGCGTTAATGTACCACTTCTTGAAGTTTTCGCTTGATTTATGGTTCCAGATAATATATGGGATATGGTTCTTTCACTTGTGTGCCTGCTGATTGTGAATACTTCAACTCGTAACTTCATGCATAAATAGGACATCTGTTCCGGTGTTTAAAGACTCGATTAAACCTTTCTGCGTAAGGGTCGCTATCAATTGTCACTATCGATATTACTGCCAATGCATCTCAGCGATAATTATTCATTCACATTCTCACCAAATCATAGTTTTATTGCCGCTTTGTTCATGTTCATGAAAGATCAGCAATATTCACTGCCCCAACTAGTCGTATGATCTGTTCCTTAAGCTGAAGGACAAGAACTCCATAATCTAATGAAACATTAAGCATACGTTGTCCAAAGATACACATCTTCTTCTTCTTCGCTCCTTTCGCTTTTGCCTTGCATTTTTCTCTCGACTCTTGACTAGCAAAAAGTAGGAAATGAATCTCTTTATATGCCATTTGATCCGGCCCAGTCAGGCCCAACTCCACAATCTCCTTGTCTATTCACCAATTCCATTTCCAATAATTACTCGAAGTTACGCCAAAAAAGAACCATGCCGAAAAGGATATTATGTCTCTCTTTAATCACTATAAAAAGCTCTGATTGAATGGAAGAAACTTTCTCCGTCACTCTTATTACGATTCATTCCCATGCCCGCACAGGAGATATTGCGGCATGAAGCCCGTCATGGTATATCTTAGAATCTTTATCTTTTGAGTTGCTAGCCATATCTAAGAGCTTCCTGGAAAAACCATCGAGTCCTGAAACTGTTTTCGTTGTCGAAAGTGACACCATACTTTGTGACTGTTATTTTCATTAAATACATCATTCTCTGC